ATGCATGGAGCAGACTAACATTGTGTTAAAATGGTTAAAACTTTAGGAGTCAAGTCCGCCCCATGCAAGAGTCCGCTCAATGCAGGACCTATGTGTAATTTCAATTGACCCTCCATGCAGGTTACCCTTTAAAGCTTTGTCTGATTAAGTAAGAATTAGATATCAATGTTTATGATTTTGAAAACTGAATTTTTTAAATTTTGGTTTCTCCACAAAAGTTACTTGCGCATTTCCACTGCATGCAAACATGTAGGAATTATCAGGAATATTAATACCTAGATGAACGACATATTTCTTTCCTAGATAAAGGTTTCAGGGGTACCGTTGTGAATCGGACATTGACATCTTTACATGGAGGGTCACTTGAAAGTACGCTTATATTCTTACTTTTTCACTCAGAAAGCCAATTTAAAATAAAGTAATTGGAAAATCTAAATCTTATCAATTTAAAGAAAGAAAAGAGATGTTTTTGGTTAAGGCAGTTATATACGTGGGCAAAACAAATCTTTAAAAAATTGTTAAAACATTAAAATTTCTCGTCAGTCGCATAGAGTACAAAAACCATTTTTTCAACCTTTAAATTCGGCCTGAACCTCCCAATACGAGGACCAAGCATGATAGCTCCAACCAAAGCAACTGTTCCACCACTCAGATGAACCATACCAGAGCCGGCAAAATCATGGAATTCTCTAAATATAATATTAACAAATTATTTCTGATACAAGTTCATGTTAAGATTTGATTTGATTTAAAATGAAATTTAAAATAAATTTGAACAAGTTTGGTAAAAAATGTGGAAAAGAAAAATCTGCTGTTTTTAAAACTTTATTTCTGAACCACTGTATTCGGTTCAATTGCTGTAGAGCATTTCAGATTTATATTGTGCATTATAGTATAAAGACGAATTTTTTGTTTAAACTCAAAATTTCAAACTTTATTCTGAGCTAAAATTTGTGAATTTTTTAATGGGACCTACATAGCTCAAGCTGAGAAGAAAATAATATTCACTTTTTTATTAACGTTGACATGTTCCCATTAACATGAGACACAACAATTGTGCAGTGTAAACAAACACACTCAATTAGTTATTAGTGTTTATTATTGCTTTAATGTCGTCTTCTTATTCCACAGTTTTCTGGTTCTCACTGTAGATAAATAGTGTTTTGACATTTATCAAAATAATTTTAACTGGGCATGACCTTATTATTTTTATCCATAATTAAAATATCAGGTTTAAATTAAAACAAATTTAATATATTTAAGGATCTTGCTATATAATGAAAATATAATTTAATATACTGGTTTGTTTAAATGAAATAAGGGTTAAATTGATAGTGTATTTTTCGACCTACGCAAATCCGCTATACTCCACTACTGACCTACGCCAAATCCACTATACTACACATCCGACCTACTAGCACGTGGTTTTACAGCTGTTATATGGACTTGTGGCCGCAGCGCCCAGCCCCTTAGCCTGTACTAGCCGCGGCGCTCGGCTCCATAGCCTGTCCTAGCCGCAGCGCTCGGCCCAGAAATTGTCTTAACTTAACCTAATCCTCAAATAATACGAAAATAAACAGCTGGCGTAGGTCCGATATTGCAGTAGGTCGGAAGTTCAGTAGGGGGGATGTTGCGTATAGACGATGTAATATTACCGTTAAATTGACTACATCTAAAAACAGAAATATAAAAAAATTGTTTTGATTGATGCACAGAAAAATTTGATTAAATGTTTTTTGGTTTGTAAATAGAACATCTTCAAGGTGCGAAATTACGAAACAGTCCTTGGATCTATCCTATAGTTGGCAAGGGTTGTTCTTGATTTGGATGCACCCTAGAGTCCAGAACAATAGACAGGGTCTGGAAAAAATTATGAATTATGATTTAAACTATTTAAAAGATATTTATAAAAAAAAGCATCTAAACATCTTACATAATATGTGTATTTATAATACAAAATCTCAAATAAGAATTTTGATTTCATTTCATGTATACAAGTCTTTTGTTTCTAACCTTTAAGGGTTCATTTGGAAAACTCTTCCTCCTCTGCGCCCAAACTTCAGGTAGGACTCGTAATCCAAAACTCTGGGATTTTTTATTGTTAAACAGCATTTTTATTATTATAGTTTTTAATTCTTTTACCTGGGTGACATCAGTAGTGGAAGGTTCAAATGTTTCCTCTATGTAGGCCTCTAAATATATTTGATTAAGGGACTGGTCTCCATATTAGAAACAATTTTAAATAAATTTTAAAAAACAAATACAACAATTGAATTAAAATACTTAAATAACTTTAAATGGGTTGAAAATAAACTAAATGTCTAACTAATGACATGCAAATATTTGCTTTCTTGATTGGATTGAGCTTTAGGATGGTGTTTTGGACGGTAAGGATTAAAAACTGAAAAATAATTAAAAAATTTCTTTCTTTGAAAATCTGCTTAATTTGTAAATGTCATAGTTTTAAATGATTTAAAAAGTTTCAAAACCTCAGCAAGCATAGGATCAATCAAATTAGTCTGAAAACTTTTAATTCTGTTACCAAAAGGATAAGCTGGTTCTCCATGTTTCGGAATATCAAGTCCTTCTACTTCAAACTTAGGATTTGCACGGAATAAATTCAATTTCTAAACAAAAATGATTACACAGAGCTGAAAACTTTAGAATAAAATATCCAGATATCCCGTCGAATAATTAATCTGAAGATTAAAGTCATGAGTTAACCAAGCAATATTTAATCTGGAGATTAAGAAAAAGAGTGGATTAAGCCTTAATCCTGATATCCACCATTCTAAAGTTTTCAGCTCAGGAAATATACAAATTCTGACAGGTTCCCCTGCATCTAGTTATACATGTTTATATTAAAGAGTAAAGGGTTAAGCTTCTAAGACATTATATTGTGACGAGTTTAAGTATTNCCCCTTGGGTAATACTTCCCTTGAGTATTCCAAAGATAAGTATTCCTGCAACACCATTCCAGGAGATAAGAACTAAAACACCAAGTGCATTCCATCCCATCCGTAGAGAAGCACGCTCAGTTGCTCCATACAACAATCCTTAAACAAATAAAACTAACCTATTGCCTCAAGCTGTATCATACCTTTGCAATTAAGGATAGATATATTAGATTTTCTTTAGGAAGTTTCAAACGAAATTTCTGAGATTCATGAATATGTCGAACGGCGAAAATTTTCTCATAAAAGGTTTGTCGAAAATTTTCGCGAAACAGATTTATCAAAAAATGGAAAACCCTAGTTTGTCTCTCAAATCTTATTTTTCTGGATCTTTGAATATTTTGTAAAACTTTACCGGTTTTCAATTTTTGCTTAGACAAAAAAAGCTTTTTAATTCATTAGTTGACGAACGAAAGGTTTTCTTCGTAAATCCTCTTTTACAGATATTTTCCATTATTTGATAAATGCAAACTTGCAGGGAATACAATTTTCAAATAAATCAGATATTCCAAATTTTTTTTCAACCAAGATGGAAGGCACATAAGCGATAAATGTTAAAGAAGGGGTTAAAATGACTGTAAACATGAGTTTAAGAGAACCTCCATGTATCTAGAGTGCCATGTCCAATTCACAACGGTAACAGTTGGCCTTTGAACCGTTCTCTTGAGAACATTACAATACAGAAGACATCGCAGAAAAGTGTTGAATTCTGTCAATTTCTTTCAATATGTCTGCGCAGCATAAATATACAAGTCAGTGAAACAGTCACTGCAATTGAAAGTTACCATGCTTTATCCATGATTAGACTAAGACAAGTATGTATATGGTATCGGTGTGAATCAGGCAAGTATGTATATGGTATCGGTGTGAATCAGGCAAGCATGTATATGGTATCGGTGTGAATCAGACAAGTATGTATATGGTATCGGTGTGAATCATACAAGCCCCTCGATAAATAGAGAGTTCCTTTAAAAAAGGAGTCACCACTGTAACTAACCATCGTCCATGAATATAGGAGCAAGTAGCATACCAAGCAGTCCTCCAACAAAATGTACTGCCACGGCATCAACAGGGTCGTCTATCTAAACGAGAGTCGGAGGGAGTGGTCGGCTGTCATTGGTCCTTAAAAATAACTTCCAACCCACAAAATGACCCCCTATGTCATGCGATTTGACCTCATTTTCTTTTCTTTTAAGGGTGCGTGGCAAGGCTTGGAGGTCAATCTGCGGCTCGGAAAATATTTCACGGGGCTCGTTACGGTCGAGCATCCACTTAGATTAAATATGAAAATGAAATGAAGACAGATCATTATGAAAAGAGGGGCGCTAAGTACCATGGAAACTAATGAATAAATACCTACCTTGAATCGAACCATTAGTTTAGATACAATCACATAACAGCATCCAGCTATTCCTAAAAACAAAACTACTGGTAATTTTGATTAGAACTAATAATTTAAAAGAGGGAAGGCAGCCACATAATAAATGCGTCCAAGCAACAGTTTTTATCAAAAGGGTTTTGATGCTTAAAGGTTGAAAAATTCTCTTTTAACGATATAAACAAAAATATTAAAAATAGCCACTTGTAATTTTTTTTTGGGAGTGGGGGTGGAAGAAGTTTTAGCTCCAAACTAAAAATGCTGAATTATAAAATACCTGCAATAACACACGCAGCCCAGGGATAATATCTATCAGCGCCAGCACAGATAGAAACCATTCCATGTCAGGGACCAGACACCATCAGGAAGTAGGTGATTACCTTTGTCAGGGACCAGACACCATCAGGGTGTAGTTTATAAATGAATAGAACTACCCCTCCTCCTATACAGCATGCTATAAGAGTGGTTAGAACTGCTCTGGCAACCACCACCCCGTCACCAGGGTTAGTTATGGAACCCTTAAAACAAGAATATATTTAGACTAGCATGGGAACCCAGTATTGCCTGGAAACTAAACTTTCTCTATAAAAGTCAACCTACTCAACTTTTAAACCAAGATAAAATCATTTCCACGGTTTTACAGACTTCCCCAATACAATTTTCACACAAATTGGTTAAAGGGTTCCTGAGTTATGATCGAACATACAAACAAACAGAGTTTACTACTTTATATGTTAGATAGTATATAGAGTGGTAAGCAAACTAAAGGGGAATAGGAACAAAACTGTTTTGACAAAATGTTAATAAATTAAAGAAAAATAAAATTAAATCAGTAAGTTTTCCGATTTTCAGGTCTTAGATTAAACTTTACCGACAGTATAAATGCGTTTCTTATTATAGACCTTTTTAATAGAATAAAATTTGGGTACATAACGCACAATGCAACAAAACGCACAATGCAATATAACGCACAATGCAACATAACGCACAATGCAACATAACGCACAAACACAATGCAGCAAAACACCCAATGTAACAAAACGCCCAATGTTACAAAACGTCCAAATTTGTATGAGAAAAAAGACAGTAAAGGTTGAACTTTTTTAAAGAAAATTTGCAACTTTTCTGTTGAAATTCATTAATGTTTTTTGGAGACTCAAGGAACATGGCGAGACAGCTCTCTGTATTTGTCAAATATAACATGAAACGTTGTATTCTTGTTACTACAGAAGAATATGATCAAAATTACAGAATTAAATCAAATGCGCCAGATATTGCTACTTCCTACTGGATTTAACGAAAGCAGGATACCTATAATTGTAAAGCGAGGACAAAACACAAACTATTGAACAACAAGAATATAGATTATATTAGTACAATGAAGACCACTTTCTATTTCAATTTTTATGTTTATCAAGCTGATCTATGTTTTAGTTCAGTTGAACAATTTCCAGAAAATCGTTAAAATGGGTGTATTATTTCAGAGTTATGTTAGGTTTAGACAGTTTCCATAGAGAGTTCTGCGGCTAGGACAAGTTAGGGTGCCGAGCGCTGCGACTACATTGCAATGAAACTTTCATTCCAAAGAGAATACTTTGCGCCATTATAACGCCTTCAGTGTTCAAGTTACATCTAAAAGTTATGAAAATGAATATCTTCCCTTTGATTTGTAAAATTTATAAATATTTTATCTTGTCTACAGCTTGCTGAACACTGGCGAAATGACTGTTGGCATGTCAAAAAATATTTTAACAATGAAACTGTCTTCGGAATTTTTCTTGTGATTTTGGGACTTTTGTTGCATTGGGCGTTTTGTGATTGGGCCTTTTTTTGCATTGGGCGTTTTATTTTTGTCCGTTTTGTTGTTCGGCGTTTGTACCCACTCCCTGTAAAATCCGTTTTTTCTTGAAAAAATTACCGTATAAACAGTTTCTAAAGGTGTTTCTCAAATCTTGGTTCATATTACAGTGATAACCAGATAACAATGGAAAAGGAAGAGGACATTATAGCAATACTTACGGGTATTTGATGGCGTTATTACCTAATTTCAAAAGCCATAATATTATTATGTCTGCTAGAGTTTATTTTATGAAAAGTATAAAAGACTGGAAAGATGTGTCTATAATGTCTCCGCAAGATGAACAGTGAAGACGGACAAGTTTACTCTGTTAGTATAATGTAATTTTCTTGTTTTACGAAGTACAACCGTATGCAGTCAAAACATAAACAAACAAAATGTGAACATAGCAGACGGAACTCTTACAGATTACAGCTTTCTCAGTAGGTATCACTTTACTAATTCTAAGAATTATTTAAAAAGACGATATCGGATTCGTCACTGAATTCCCATGTTTATTGGGACACCCTGTATAAATTTAAATCATGCTGACAGAATAGTATGTCAAAATATACCTTTGATCCACCGTTAAATGCCATGAATCCAAATATTAGTATAAGAGCTCCCAAAGCCACCAATGGTATCGAATGACCTGAAATCGGCTTGTCAACCTAAAATAGTCTTATAGGTAACCTCATTAAATTTTGTGTATTTGTCCCCATTTGATTTGAGACATAAAAAATTTTGTCAACGCATGAATAAAAAACAATGATTTCAATTTTATTTTGTTTAAATTGAAAAAGTTATTCTAGAAATATACTATTTTTTTTCTTTTGGAGAAAATCTTGGAACTAATTAAACTTTATAGCACGTTACTATATTATTCAGATAGTTTAGTAGAACAGCTCATACAATGGTAAGATTGTTGTAACGAAGTTTACTATGCAATGTGTATAAATAAAAAAGTACACCACAGTTTCTTAAAAATATAGTAAAAGGATTAATTGTACAATTCAATTTCTTTTTTTGTATTTTGGTGTATTTCTAATGTCACCAAAAAGGTGTCATTATCAAACTTATTATTTAATTTGAAAAATTCAGTTTTGACAATACCACCATTCTTTAAGGACTGATGAGGATATAAAATATATCCAAATTAATTTCCAAACCCGAGTTTTCCTACCTGTGAGAGTGAAACCTTTTTTTGCCAGTTTGGACAATTTAATTTACATTTATAATTCAAGCCCTACCACAGTAAATGTTTAGATTTGATTTTGGAAAACTTGTATTTAACGAGATTGGTCACGTCACACTTGTATACATCAATATTGTAATTGACATTTATAACCGTCAAACGTTTTAATTCTAAATGTCCAGAATGATTCAATACTTTCTTTAAAAAACTACTGTCGCGATTTTTTTTCAAAATGTCAGCTTATAAAATTTTGAGTTCGGTAGTCAGTTTTTTTCAACAAATTATGAATTTAAATAAAGCCAATTTAAAATAAAGTACTTGTAAAATCTAAATCTTATCAATTTAAAAAAAGAAAAGAGATGTTTTTGGTTAATTAAGTTATATACGTGGGCAAAACAAATCTTTATAAAATTCTAAAAACATTAAAAATTTTCGTCAGTCACATAGAGAACAAAAATAATTTTTTCAACCTTTAAATTCGGCCTGAACCTCCCAATACGAGGACCAAGCATGATAGCTCCAACCAAAGCAACAATTCCACCACTCAGATGAACCATACCAGACCCGGCAAAATCATGGAATTCTCTAAATATAATATTAACAAATTATTTCTGATACAATAATAAAAGTTCATGTTAAGATTTCATTTGATTGAAAATGAAATGATCGATGGAAATTTTAACAAAGGAATTGAGTTTTTGCCACAAGCTCAAATTTTCTAATACCTATATCTGTACACCTAGATAATGTAAACCTTTAAGATTTTAAACATCGATTATTTTATCCATCAGAATTGATGGTTTGAAATAACTAAGGTCTACGACACTGGGATGTGAAGATATGGGATTAATAAATCAGAGTTTGTGACAAAGACTAAATTCCTTTGGTAAAAATGTTGACAACAACAATTTGTTTTCTGTTTTTAAAATTTTATTTCTGAACCTATCTGTTTGGTTTAATTGCTGTACAGCATTTCAGATTTTCCCTTAAGTGCATTATAGTATAAAGACGACATTTTCTGGTTTAACCACAACATTTCAAACTTTATTCTGAGCTAAAATTTGTGAATTTTGGGTTAACATATTTAAAAGGCCCATATACATAGCTAACAAGTTGAGAAGAAAAAAATTTTCACTTTTGTATTAACATTGACATCGTTTCAAACTTTATATTTCTGCATTTTATCTTTTTTTCTAAAAAACGTAAATGTTTTATCAACTGCAATCAGAACCAGAAAACTCTGTGATAGGATTGTGTCTTTTAGACTCAAGTTATGACTTTCAATAATCCATTGAACATGAAACACAGCAATGGTTTAGTGTAAACAAACATACTCACTAAGTTATTTAAAAAGTTATTTAGTAAGTTATTTAATAAGTTATTTAATAAGTTATTCAATAAGTTATTTAATAAGTTATTTAAAAAGTTATTTAATAAGTTATTTAAAAAGTTAATTAATAAGTTATTTAATAAGTTATTCAATAAGTTATTTAAAGGTTATTTAACAATTTATTTAATAAGTTATTAGTATTAAACTATTTGCTTTGTANAAACTCTTTATTTCCTAAAAAAAATGAAATGAATAATGATAAATAATTATTACAAGGGTTTACAAATTTATAATGAAAAGATTCTTACGATCTATTTGCTTATTTGTGGGTTAACTGTCGAAAAGTCCTAAGACGCTTTTTATACATTAAAACTTCTGAAAAGAGTAACAATTAAATGTTGAGGAAGGTCACTAATTCTTTATATGAAAATATTCTTGCTTAACTTTGAAGTGGATCAGTCGTTTTTAACAATTTTCTCCTTATAGACGCTAAAGATAGAACTAAGATTAGAAGCGATTAAAAGCGCTTTTTTATCGCATTATGCCTATACCCTCTTTCATTTTTCGCGAACACTCCCTTTAAAGCCAAGTGTGTTAAAAATAATAAAAGTATTTATATTTGTTTTTGTATCTCTACCTGAAAGAATGCATGTGAATAGCTGGATAGATTTAATGTTGCTAAACCAAAGTATTCCAGGCCAATTATACTGTTACCTTTGCCAAAGGCAAAGGCATAGCCAAATGACAAGTAAGCCGTTATACCTACATAATCAGGTTGTCTATGTGGGAGGGAACCCCCGACCGCCATGAGCCTCCCAGATTATAACAGATTGTAAAGTGAATTCGATTAGATTTGTTAAAATCTTTAAGAGATAGTTCTTTTTTGAAAAATGATTTATGTTTGAATAACTCTTGCAATACAAAATTATTGTTTTAAAGAATTATCCAAATTTTTTTAATAAAAAATATATCTCTAATCAATAGAATTGTCAACTGCAGTTTAAAGGAATTTTCAGCTGTTTAAAGGAATTGTCAACTGAACAAAGGAATTGTCAACTATATAAAGTAATTGTCAGCTATTTTAAGGGAATTGTCAACTATTTTAAGGGAATTGTCAACTGCTTAAATGAAATGTCAACTGCTTAAATAAATTGTCAACTGTTTAAAGAAATGTCAACTGTTTAAAGGAATTGTCAACTGTTTAAAGGAATTGTCAACTGGATAAAGAAATCGTCAACTGTTTAAAGGAATTGTCAACTGGTTAAAGAAATCGTCAACTGTTTAAAGGAATTGTTAAAAGAATGTCAACTGTTGAAAAAAATTTCAATTGTTGAAAGGTATGTCAAATGTAGAAAGTAATGTTAACTGTTGAAAGGAATGTCAATTGTTGAAAGGAGCGTCAACTGTTGAAAGGAATGTTAATTGTTGAAAGGAATTGCTACCTGTTTAAAGGAATTGTCAACTATTTAAAGGAATGTCAATTGTTGAAAGGAATGTCAATTGTTGAAAGGAATGTCAACTGTTGAAAGGAATGTCAATTGTTGAAAGGAATGTCAACTGTTGAAAGGAATGTCAACTGTAGAAAGGAATGTCAACTGTAGAAAGGAATGTCAAATGTTGAAAGGAATGTCAACTGTTGAAAGGAATGTGAACTGTTGAAAGGAATGTCAAATGTAGAGTCTATTTAGTTAAACTGTAATACAAAATTATCTTTATAAACTTCTCACCAAAAACAAGTTCTGAGAAATTTTTTATCAGAATATTTGTTATATTTTTACTTCGAACAGATCCCGCCTCTAAGAATGCAAATCCAGCCTGAAATATTATTATTTCTTGTTCATGAATGTAATATCTTATAATCTTAAGCAAAACCAGAAACTTTTAGATGAAATAGATTTAGGCTGTAAAAGCCGCGATTTCTTACTGGAAAATGTGACTTTTTAGGAAATGTTACTTTGATTCAAACTCAAATTTTTTCAACCTGATAAGTGTTTCTTATTTAATCTAACAGAATTCATAGTTTGAAATATGTCTAAAGACATTGGGTTGCAAAGATATAGGGATTAGGAAATAGTTCGTGGCAAAGACTGAATTCCTTTAAGGAATTCTTAAAGTGAATCTGTTGAAATGAATTAAATTACGATCTGATTCAATGCGTTTCAATTCCTGAGTTCATGTTCACTGCAAACTAGATTCAGGTAAATCCCAGTCATAGGATAAATCAGGCGGAATAAATCCCAGTACGGTACGAGAACAGGGTCGGTCTGGTACGAATTAAGTAAAGTTTTATTTATTTATTTATTTATTTATTCAGAATGTCAGCTACGAGCAAAGACGACATGGATCAGTGGATCGAGTGTATCCAAGACTCGATCAGAGACAATCCCTTCCATAAGATCATCGCCGATAAAAAAGCTGCCATTCGGCGACGAAGTGGGAATAAGGTGATCGTCCCGATCATCCCAGCGGCGGCCGGGGATGGGATGTCTCAGGACGAGGACGATTAAAAAAGACGACCTCCAGGTTCTTAAAGAGCTTTGATCAGCGGCTAGTGAATTTTTAAGTGATTTCATTCATTTTTATATTTTGGACTGAGTCCAAAAGTCCATCAAATCTTGTTATTAGAAAAGAGTGTCCTAACTTGTCTTACTTTTTGTGGTCTAACAAGACCGAATCTCTTCCCTTTGTCGGTGATAATTATAGAAAAATCGTATTTGGAGGATTTGTTGAACTATAATTGCTATATTCTTATATTCTTACAAAACTGTTTAAAGTTCTATATATATTAAATTAATGTNCTTGTGCAATCCGTTTCCTTATGTCATAGGCTTTCCAAAAAGCTAAATTTTATCAAAATCTGACAAGTGAAAGTGGGTCAAAACAAAGATTTAGTTTGCTACAGGCAAAAGCAGTCATTCAGGCAGTGTGCCTGAGGACTCAGGCAGTTAGTATTAAAGCCCGGTTTTAGGCCTAAAGGGAGGGCTTTGGGTATGTAAGAAAAGTCAGAAAATTTCAACAGCCTCAGACCAATACTTTTTGAGTTATGCAAAAAAACTACAGGGGGGGGGTCAAATTGACCCCCCCCAGCGGGAATAGGGTTAATAGTCTTTTTTCTTGACAAACTATTAATAGTCTTTTTTCTTGACAAACTGTTAATTCTTTTTATCTTGACAAACTTTTATTTTTTTTCTACAGAGCGTCTCATAACATAATAAATTATTTCCAAGCTTTAACGCCAAACTGACCACATTATGCTCGAAAAACTTAATATTTTCTGCAAGGAAATTTTTGTACCAGCCGTATACATTTTTTATAAATAATTTATTCTTTTCAAATTATCTTAGTCCCTAAACGCTCAATTTAGAACTATAAATGATCTAATGTGGGACACCCTGTATAGTGTATATACACCATGTGATGATGTGGGACATTCTGTATGTAAATGGCATTTTTTGACAATACGCAATTTTTTCTCCGAGAAGAAAATAAGCTTGAGTTGCGTACCTTTACTATAAAGTATTAGTCCTGTATCATGATGTAAAGTTAAGAAGGAACTATTGGTTGATCCTTGACATGATCTTTAAACATAAATAATTAATTATCCCACCTAGTTAATATATATACTATACAGCTAGGAGTAGGTACATTTTTATACAAAAATATTTTATTTTTTTAAAACTGTCATCTCAGACATTTTGTTTATTGACGTCATTTTTCTTTTGACAACATATTTATAAAAGAAAAGAAATGAGAAGTGTAAAACGAGAATAAATAAATCGGTCAGATCGAGTTTTGTCCATACTCTTGATTTTTAGATCTATTCTATTTTAAACAGTTTAACCTTCTATCACGATACACCAGTTCTTAGAAAGAATATTGACAGAAGATAGAAACTTTAATAAATAAATCTTAAACTGGGTTTAGGAACTCAAAGTTTTCATTGATTCAACTTTTCAACTTTATAATCATATTTTTGGCTAAAACTTACGAAGATGCTGATTACTCGACTCAAACTATATTTCAAAGTTTGTCTATTTGAAATAAAAGACTAGGTTTATGAACACTAACTTTTTTGTTCATTTTATATTTCTGAAAGTGACAGAAATCCTACTTTAAAGTAACACTTTATTTATAGAGTGGCATGAGGTTTGAATATTTCTATAATGGCACTTTAATTCTAGAGTGGCATAAAGTTTGAATATTTCTAGAGTGGCACTTTAATTCTAGAGTGGCATGAGGTTTGAATATTTCTAGAGTGGCACTTTAATTCTAGACTGGCATAAAGTTTGAATATTTCTATAGTGGCACTTGAATTCTGGACTGGCATAAAGTTTGAATATTTCTAGAGTGGCACTTTAATTCTAGACTGGCATAAAGTTTGAATAATATAACCAAGAGGTTTCTCTAAAGCAGCGTTATTTGCGGCTTAAAGTGTCTGTAAACGTAATTTTCTGGCAAAGATGACAGTACAACGGTATACCCTTGAAAGTTTGAAACCTAAACTGATCAAAAATATGAGATATCGTGGTTTATCTGACTTGAAAAAGTGTTTAATTCCGATAATTCCCCATTGCTTCTTTTGTAAGCAATAAATGCACTGTCGTAGAGAAACCTCAAATGAAAATAAACAGTTTAAATAAATCCCCCCTGAATTCCTCAATCTGTACTAGAATAAGTCTAAGCTCTAAGATCAGTTTAGTTTCTGCTGTTTACATGTGAAGATCTCTGAGTAAAGTGTATATTAAAGAACCTTGAGAGATTAACATGTATAGTCCGATCCTTCCTTCTCCTCTTGGGAGAATAGAACTAAATCTACTAGGACCTGGATCAGGAGATGTAGCTCACCCCTCCTTGTCCAGTTCATCCTTCTCAGCCAAACATGAAGCTGGAGATGGAGCTTATCCATCCGGTTCAACCTTCTCCTACTCAACCAAACCGGGCTCCTTTTCTCATCCGTTCTATACAGCCCCCTCCCCCTCCCTTCTCCATCCTTATTCTCCAATACCTCCATTTATTAGAAATTTTCCATTTTGTTCTGCACCCCCTACAATCCTTAGTTTGGGACCATTTCATGTCTCCTATCATAAACTCTCCGAAAATTCATCCTATCCGTTCTCTCCTCCCTTCTCTCCTAGTCCGTCCTATTTTAACTTTTCTCCAACCTATCTGAAGAGAAACGAGCCAAGGTTTATCTACCCGGAGTATGCTCCGAACCCTAGTTTCCATACCAACCCAGATACAGAGCAAACCCAGGAAATGCAGGCAAGAACCTAAAAAAGATAAAAATATAATGAAAGGAATAGGCTCAATATTTTACTTTGGAACACTGAGACTCAGATCTGGGAAAAAAACGGAATACTGAATTTTAGAAATATTAATATTTCTTCTGGCTAACAAGAAAACATGATAAAGAAAATTCTGGGTTCATCGTACATGCCGTACAACATGATAAAGAAAATGCTGGGTTCATCTTACATGCCGTACAACATGATAAAGAAAATGCTGGGTTCATCGTACATGCCGTACAACATGATAAAGAAAATGCTGGGTTCATCTTACATGCCGTACAACATGATAAAGAAAATGCTGGGTTCATCGTACATGCCGTACAACATGATAAAGAAAATGCTGGGTTCATCTTACATGCCGTACAACATGATAAAGAAAATGCTGGGTTCTTAATT